TTAGAGATCAGAGAAAACAGGAATTCCACACAGTTTGGATCAAATATTCTGCACTCAGAATGGGATTAAACACATGGGCATTGACAAAAGAAAACAGCAAAAATCACACAAAATCACACACACTTCCCATTTTGAGAACATAAATCTCTTCTTTTTTTCTTTTTTTTTTTTTTCAGTTTCAACAACGGATTCATAAATAATCAGAAGAGTCGTTGACGGACTGGAGTCTTGACACACACAAGACGGACTGGCCCAAAACCGTTCCATACATTTCACGAAGCTTATGATCATAGCATAACAAGGAGAACCAACGTTTTCCCCTAAAAACTGCAGCTGAAATTGAGAACACAAATACGCACCGTGTGAGCGGTGTGTAAAAACGACTGCGCACCGATGAAAATGAACGAGAGCGACAAGTTCTAAGCGGTATCCACCAAAACAACAGATTCAACAGGTTAACCGATTGATCCCATTATTAGAATCAGTACCTCACTGCAAGAGAGAACTAGAGCCCATACGAAGGAGCCTGAATTTTGACCTACTGTCAGTGTCCAAATATGAGAAAACCCGACCTCAGCGGAGGAACAATGAATAACACTTCCTTCAGCGACTTCTCAAGTCAAGACATTCAGAAAGATGCACTGTTTTTCACACTCGTCTGTGACTTTTGACCTTCTGGTTTCATCAAGGTCACCCAGGTCAATCTAGGACGAGGTGACGTCCATCTTGTAAATGTGGTCTGCGAATGCAGCCGAGAGGTGTAAGTGGTGGAACCAGAAGATCGGAAAGTAACTTGCATCACCCAACATTTGAACACTATAGATTTACTTGGAGAGAAACCTTGTTCTTTGGCTATAAAAAAAAAACAACAAAAAAACAAACACATTATCTCATTATTGTTCTGGTGTTGGAGAACGTATGAACCCACACAAAGGTTAGAACCTCTCCTCCTGAACTTGATACATACTTGATGTGGTTAAGTTTTGTCGCTGACCCAGAACAAACCTGGTAGCTTAACGGAATTAGCCGACGTGATTATTTTTTTTCTCCTAATTTGAAATGCATGCAACTACACGTTCACACACACACACACAATGAACCATTGTCATTTCAATGACGTATGATTAACAAATGAGGTTATTCATTTGTCACTGAGCAGTTGTCTATTCAATTATTTGTACAAAACATATTCAGGAGTATTGATTCAGCCCGAGCTAAAGTAAAAAAAAAAAAAAGGCTAAACAAAAATAATCAATTCTACGATTCAATAAAATCCCATTTCCCCACTCACTGACACAATAAGACATGATAACCTGCCTGGTTACACTGTAAACAGCCTTATTCAACATTCTGCCGAGCGTTAACGCTATGTTTAAACGAAAAGTCACAAGTGGAGTGGAAAAATATGGAAAATTTAAAAAAAAAAAAAAAAAAGGATTGAATGGAAAGAGAAGGGAGAGTAAGGCTCTGCAAAGCATTCGCTGCAGCACTCAACATGCCTCAACATGAGACCGACGCACCGAATCCTGGACAGTGGACGCATCATCTTTCTCCCATTAGAGTTTCATCTGAGTGAAGCGATTTCTTAGCAGCATTTTGGGGAGAAAAAAAAAAAAAAATCTTGTAACATGTGAATAAATACGTGGACACTAAAACAAAACACTCCAGACACCAAAAAGAGGAAACTTGACATACGACCATATTAAATGATTAAACTCTACCACCAATCACAGAAGCTCTTCCACCATAGTTCCTGTACTCCCTGATAGTTCTACTCCGTTAGCAGTGACTACTCGGGCTTAACAAAAAAACCGTTCCGGTGCCTTCACTTCGTTTTTATTTCCTGCGCTGGAAACCTCAAACAGTTACCGGTGCTTTGTCTATTATTTTTTTTTTTCATACAAAAAAATGAAACCTGTGGTGTGTGTTGTCTACATACTTTGAGCCACATTGTGTGTGTTATCTCTGGAGCCCAATTTTAGAAATCAGGTCACGATAAAAGACACAGAAAAGGATGAACTAAATCTAAAAGTCTCCAGAAAGTGAAGCTGGTTGTGTATGTGCACTGATCTCACATCAAACCTAAAGAGATTTTAAATATAGAGAAACCTCATGTTTACAGTTATATTATAAAACATACGCACGGTAAAACGATGAGACAAACAGATTATTTACATTATTTAACAAAGAAAAGTCCTCGGCTGCCTCTCGGCCGTCAGTGTGACGCGTCTCTGCAAGCTACGAGTGTAATGGCCAAATCTATTCACTGTACATCTGTCTGGGAGAGAGAGCGACAGCGGCGGCGAGAAGGGAGAGGGCGCCGCATGACCGTCAGCTCTTTCTTCAAAAATAGAGGCGGACGCAGTGAGCTGTTGTCAAGGGTCACCCCTTACACACACACACACGCAAACACACACACACAGAACCCACTCCCTCCCACACACACACACACCTGTCAGAAGAGATGCTAATGTGCAGCAAAAGTCCCTCAAAAATTGAACACCTCGCACAACGTCCTCCATGTCACAGAGGGTCAGACAGGTCTGCTCTACAGAGTTAAGAAGAAGCAGGAGCAGAATATGAAGAATGAGGAAGAGGATGATGGAGGAGGATAAGAAAGATAAGCGCCAACCACAAGATGACGTAGAAGGATGAGAAGAAGGAGGAGAAGGAGAAGAAGAAAAAAAAATAAGTAGAAGCAGGATAAGAAGGATGAGGATGGGTGAAAGATGAAGATAAAGCAAAAGAAGAAGGCAGCAGCACATGAGTGACCCTGGAAGTGATGACAGTGGGCGGAGCCTAAACTGGGTTGCTTTTTATGTGTCAGGAGTCACAGGTCCTGCGGTTTCATCCTCTCTGTCCGTAGTTTCCCTCCTGACCCTGGTTGGTTTCCATCGGGTCTTCTTTGAAGTTTTCACACAGATCTATCACTTTCCTACAAAACCAGACATGTGAGGCACAGGTTAGATCATATGTAAGTACTGCCTGATGGAATTATACAATAGATGTGTTGACGTTTCATCTCCACTTATCTGTGTATTTGGCAACCGTCCACTGCATTTAGAGATTACTACAAAATAACAGTACAACTACAGCAGTGGTTCTTAACCTCGTTGGAGGTACTGAACCCCACCAGTTTCATATGCCCGTTCATGGATTCCTTCTTCATTGGAAAAATAAAATATGATTTTTTTTTTTCAAATTCAAGACATAGGTATATGTTTTACTTATATGTTTTAAATTCCCTGCAGCACAGATAGGCCAAGCGATGTAGTGTGATCACCGGCAGCTAGTGATGGCCAAGCGGGGCGTGTCATCACAAATCATTTGAGTCTGGGTGTGTGTCTTGTCTTTCACCAAATTCCTGGGGTTCGATATAACCCAGGTTAAGAGATGAGATGCCCTGCTTACAGTTTATAAAAGCAGCAGGAGTGTTTGTTGTGCTCTCTCTTCGATTCTTCTTTAGTTGCTAAAATTTGTGCAGCTAAAAAAAAAAAGCCTTCTGATGATGGAAAATGTCAGTCATACCTGGCCATTTCCTTGGTCTTGGGCTGGGAGCCCTCCTGGTCCAGAACATTTAGTAGGAGACTCATTCCTCCTTCTTTTATCAACAGGGGACAATATTTCCTTGCTGCAGAGAAGTTTAGAGATAAAAAGAGAGGTACATAAAATACCAGAAATTCTCATCGGCTCCAGTCTACCGTTTTTTTTGTTTGTTTGTTTGTTTGTTTGAGGATACTCACGATACACTGACACCAGGTTGTACAGCGCCCACGTGGCCCAATGCTGGCTGACAGGCGAAAGACTCTGAGGCAGGAGACGTAGAATGGGCTCAAACGACCTGAGAGATTAATGTTGATGAAGGAACTGCATTCATTTCTATCACGAACCAAATATTTCAAATGATCAAATCCAAT